TCGAACTCACAGAGATCCGCCTGCCTCTGCCTCCCAAGTGCTGGGATTAAAGGCGTGCGCCACCAACGCCCGGCTTAAAAATCCTTTTTAAAATTGCATTTCTTTGTTTGCGTGGGGCACGTGTGGGGGTCAGAAGACGCCTTTCGGGGTCAGTTCTTGCCTTCCACCAGGTGTGTTCCGGGGACTGAAGCCAGTGTATTGGGTTTGGCTATAAGTATGTTCCTATTAAGCCATCTCACCCACCCCATGGCCCCATTTTAGGCATTTTAAATATAAGTGGCATTAATTTTTGGTTTTATTATTGTTTTAATTTTAAACATATTGTTGTATGCAACCGACATCCATATCCATCTCCAAAAGTTTGTTTTGATCATTCCTGAAAGATTTGTATCAACTGTGCTGGGATCATTTCATGACAGGCTTGACCGTAGCTCATGAAGTAGACACCGTATGTTGCCCACTCAACGTTCCCTTCTTCATTCTTGCTGAACCCCTTATGTGGAAGTATTCAATGTGACATTCTACAAAGCTCTGTACTTCAGGGAAGGTTCTAGCATTAAGATCCTATTGGTGTAAACTAACCACTGTGCCTTCATGCTTCTTTCAGGACAATGTGTAAGCAAGCCACTTCCTTGCTTTTGGAGGCAAGGAGATGTCTGCTCCATAAGTTGTCATCTTAAGAAAAGCCATGAAGAGGTGACTCTTTTTGTCTCCAAAATATCATCCAGAAAAAATACAAACTTTAAAATGAGATGGTTTTGTTTGTTTTAGATTGTTCAGAGAGAGTCTAAGACTAATAATCTTTTCAATCTGTATATACTTCAAGTCTTGTCTACAATGACTTTAATAATAGTGACCCTGAAGTGCCACTAGATGTCACCCTGGCTTCATATTTCAGAGATGTTCTAGCACAGTTAAAAACAACAAAAGACCCAATACTTTGAAAAGGGGTTAGAAGCAGTCTTTAATCCCAGCATTTGGGAGGCAGACGCTTCTAGATCTCTGTGAGTTTGAGGCCACATTGATCTACGTATCACTCATCAGATCAGCCAGGACTATATAGTGAGACCTTGTCTCAACAAAACAAAAAAGAATGAAAAGCACGTTAGAAATGTGAGCAAAATTAAGGGCTGTAGCTTGATGGCAGAGTTTTGCCTAGCATGTTCAAGGTCCTTGGTTGGATCACACACACACACACACACACACACACACACACACACACACACACACACCTCAAAAAAAAGCCGAAAATGTTAGTAAAAATAAAGAGGAAAATAGTAAAGGATATCATGTAACATTAAAATCAATAAATGAAAACTTCACAAAGAACAAGTTTGTTTTTCTCTACACAGTGTTAACAAATAGAGAAATGTGTGGTTTCCAGGATGTCACAACTGGGACTAGGCAAATAGCATTTGAAAGAGTTGAGTGTGGGAATGCAGGAGCAAGGTGCTGTGATTTTGTATCTCCTGTATGGACACAGTGTGCGATTTGTGAGAAAGAGCTTGATTAGAAATCAGAATTTGCCAAATATACATTGAAAGCACAGTTGCCTCCTGATGGGATGTGTCTGCTATAAGAGGCCTTTTTATTGCTAGATTAGAGGCAATTCTAAATTAGAGGCTGACAGAGCGGGTGCACTAGATGATGAGAAAGGAAACGGTGAAGATTTTTTTCTGAGCCCTTTCTTACAAACCAGGAAGAAGCTGGTTGGGTTCCGTTGTTCATAGCAGAGACCCAATTGCCGTTGGTATAACAGGGACTGTATTTAGAGAGATGGTTAAGGTTCTTGCCTTCAAGCCTGACAGACAACCTGAATTTGATCCCTGAGACACTCCCATAAATTGTCTGGCCTCTGGCCTCCACAGGCACACCAAGGCTGTCAGGTCAAATAAGTTCTACAGCAAGATGACCATGGGAAGACCTTGTGAAACTCAGAGGAAAAAGCTACACTATAGTGTGTGTGTGTGTGTGTGTGTTATTGGGGTGCCTTGTTGCTCATGTGGAGGTCAAAGGTCAACATTAAGTGTCACTGCTTGCCTGCTACCTTGTTTGAGATGGGGTCTCTGACCACTGCTTCATACAATTAGCTAGTTGTGTGGGGTGGGGGTGGGGTGCTGGAGAGATGGCTCAGCGGTTAAAATCACTGGCTACTTGCCGGGCGTTGGTGGCGCACGCCTTTAATCCCAGCACTCGGGAGGCAGAGGCAGGCGGATCTCTGTGAGTTCGAGACCAGCCTGGACTACCAAGCGAGTTCCAGGACAGCCTCCAAAGCCACAGAGAAACACTGTCTCGAAAAACCAAAAAAAAAAAAAAAAAAAAAAAAAAAAATCACTGGCTACTCTTCCAGACAACCCAAGTTCAAACCCAGCACCCACATGGTGAATCACAGTTGTCTGTAACTACAGTTCCAGGGGATCTGATGCCCTCACACAGACATACATGCAGGCAAAACATTAGGCTAGTTGACTTCCAAGCTTCTGGGCTCTCCATCACTATCTTTGGTGTTTCCTTAGGAGAACAGGAGTTACAGGTGCATGGACCACTACATCTGGCTTTTACACAGGTTCTGCAGATTTGAACTCACTTGCACAGCAGTCCTTACCCTATTGGGCCAACACCCCAACCTACTATTTTTCATTTGTTTTTGAGACACAGTATTGCTATATTACTAAGACTGAACTGTATTAGAACTCGGGACTCTCCAGCTTCAGAGTCAATGTGACTACAGGCCCACCACCAGGCCCAGCTTTCCTTTTTATTAAGTTTTCCCTTTTTATTACAAATTTAGCTGCTAAAGGAAATACCAGTAAACAAAATAGCTTAAATTGCCCTTAAGGACTTACCAATTTCATTCGGCATACCTATGTTTCCATTAGATTGCTACCATTATATAAAAAAGATACATTTTCCCCTGGCATTGGGCCCTTCTGGTGGAGCTCCTACTGCAGATAAAATATTGCGTGCTCTGTGCTGTGCATTAAATATTAGTCTTTTGAGGAGGGAGGGCTAGTAGAGACTCACATACCCAGGCTGGCATGAACTCTATGCAGCGATGGAAGACCTTGACCTTTGGACGCTGCTGATGAGGCTAGGGCTTCCCAAACGCTAAGCAAGTACCTAACAACTGAGCTATCCCCCAGCCTCAGCATCACAGCTGAGTGTATAGGCATGTGCGTGTGTGTGTGTGTGTGTGTGTGTGAGAGAGAGAGAGAGAGAGAGAGAGAGAGAGAGAGAGAGAGAGAGAGAGAGAGAGAGAGAGATTGTTGGTGTGCATGTGGAGGTCAGAAAATGACCTTGAGGACTCATGTCTGGCTTTCCACGTTCCTGAGGTGGGCTCTTCCGTTGTGTCTGGGGCTGTGCTGTGTATTCAGGCTATCTGGACCTTAAACTTCCAAGCCATTCTCCTGCGTTGGTCCTGCGGATGGGAACCACTGCATCTGGTTTTGAATTCAGGCTCCAGGAACAGGCAGTTAGACTTACTTGCCTTGTGTGATTTACCTACGCCATTTAGCTGGCTCAGTATTACACTATCGCTATAACATCTCGGTCTTAATTTGCTTCTCAGTATCTACTTTTCATTATGAATAAGTGAAAACACCAAAATCACATTGTTATAACAACCTCAGTTTCCAAAAATAAAATCCATTTTATCACAAATTTAAATAGAAAAATTTGGGTAAACATATTCCTTTAAAAGAATTCTAACTTGTCCCAATAAATTTAGAGCTAAGGATTCTGGGCAAGACAAATTAGCTATCATATACTGTTCAAATTCTCAGTGGAAAATAATGTTAAATGTTATATAGTATTATTACTAAGTTACACTGATAACCTGGTCAGTAGCATTCAGCCCTGAATGTCTAGTACAAAACCAGTGACAAACAGGCTGTCTTGGGGTCGACCAGAGTCAAAGACAGAAAAAGCCTCCCTCAGTTTGCCCAGTGAAGCAACTTCACAGGAGAGGCTGGTCCTATGTAGCCTGTGGCATATTCTTTAATGAAATCAACAAAGCACTTGACACTTGAATGTTATCCCCAACCGCTTAGCCACAGCGTCTCCTGGCTTGGCTGCCCAGCAGAAGTGCCGGGAGGGATTTTCAAAATACCAACGCCTGCCTGGAGTTCTGCTTTAATTAGTAAGGGGCGGGCTCTTCTGGTAACTATTTCTAGCCATCTGTACTGTATTTTCAGCTTCCTCGGTGTTATGGACTGTAGACCGGCTCTCAAAGCCAGGTCTTTGTGGCTGAATTCTGCCGACCGCGCTCATTGCGCCCCAAGGTCGCGACGCTGCTGCTGGCCGCTGCTATCCGCACTCTCACTCAGGGCGGCTGCAGAGGGACCGACCACAGCTAAAAATGCCCAAGAAAAGAAGCGCCTTGCCTTGCTGAGATTTGGGGATGGCTTCCCCCGCCCTTCACTAAGAATTTACGCGCCCCGACCCCCTACTTCCCTCTTGCAAATCTTCCCCAGCCGGAGAAACAAACGATGAACTTAATGCTTGACAAAAATGGGTACAAAGTTTTCGCACAGCCTCTCCGCCCCCGGGACACGATCGAAAATTCCGAAAGCACCACTAGCGCCTGCTTTCTTTAAACGCGGTTTCTGCGGAGGGCGGAGGCTATTGTCATGGTAAATTTCACTCGCCGAGGAAGAAAGAGTTGATGATCAATCAAAAAGGAGGTACCCCTTTGCGGTTCTGCCGCTTTCTTCCTGCACCGCGGCGTGAAAGGCTTTTTACTTTTCTCGGTAAAAACACACACAGAAAAGGCTCCGGCGCGTGTGCGAGCCTAAAGTAGTCTGCGGTGACCCTGGAGGACGTTGGTGCGAACTCAGTGGGCAGACCCCACTTGGGGACTTCCTCCTGAGCCCTGAATTCCAGCGGGTCTAACCGGAGAAGCGAGGACGGTCCGGCCTCCGGTTCGCATCCCCGGGGAGCCGCGAGCCACGCCGGCCCGGCTGAGAACGTTTCTCCCCGGCCGCGGGTACCGCGCTGGACGTTCTAACCCCAGCAGGGAAGCTCCGCTCGCCTCCATCTAGGTCACCTTAAACAGAAGCCGACTTGACCATGTGTCGGGCGTGATGAGGACTCCTGGGAACTTGGAGGAGCCTCGCTCCACACCAAAGCCCCGCAGGACCCCCAAGGAGAGGTTCGTTTATCTAGAAGCGCTTCTAGAGGGAGGGGCTCCCTGGGGCTTCACCCTGAAAGGTGGCCTGGAGCATGGAGAACCGTTAATCATTTCCAAGGTGAGTTTTCTGTTCAGTGTTGTCTTCAACGAACTCGGGTTTCGTTTGCAACTTTTTAAGTTGGGCCAGATTTATCGGAAACTGAAAAAAAAAATCCTGGGCATTGCCTGAATACCATGGACCACTTAATTTGTTGTTTCATGCATTCCTGATTATCTGGAAATGTTTTTTGATAGCTTGGTGTTTGGAAGTGTGTCTAGCTCATTTATTCAGTGAAATCCCCAGGAAAATGTGCTCTTTTGACGGCCAATCTTCTCTTTTTGTGTATGAAATGCTAGATCAGTTCCCATATGAGCTTTCTATTGAAAAAAAAAACAGAATAAAGATGGACATCATCAGGGAAGGACGCAGCATGGTTCACGGTCAGGAAAACCTCTCCCTTCAACCGAAAACACCCAGCTATAAAACTATTTTAAATGAGGGACGGAGAGGGAACTGGGATTGACATGTAAAACAAGGTTGTTTCTCATTTAAATTTAAAAAAGGGGGAAGAAAAAAATATTTTAAATGTTCTTAGCCAGCACTTGGGAGGTAGAGGCAGGAGGATCTCTGTGAGTTCGAAACCAGCCTAATCTACAAGAGCTAGTTCCAGGACAGCCTCCAGAATCACAGAGAAACCCTGTCTCAAAAAAACCAAAAAAAAAAAAAAAAAAAAGAGAGAGAGAGAGATAAAAGTTTATATCATTAGCCCAGGTGTGGTGGTGCATGCCACCAAACCCAGCAGGGGACCCCGAGCCAAAATAGTCAGCCCAGAGCAAGATAGCAAGGCTGTCTCAGAAGCCAAATTAACAAATATTTTTGGAGAATTCTTTTATACACAGAAGGAATTGAATCAGCTTTTAGTATAGACAAAAATCCTCTTCCGTCCCTCCATGTATTTTAAGTCTGATTTTGGAACCAAGTGATCCTGCAATATGACTCAACCTTCATTGATCTTTTGTTTTAGGTTTTAGAGTTTTCCCATGTTTCTCAGAAACAACAGACAGTCATATTGCTTGCTATGATATTTATTTTGAAATTACAGATTAGTAGCCGTTGAGGGCAATGGGATATTTAAGGGCTTCCGGGCAATTACATCCCCCAAGGAGACATTTGTAATCGAGGGAGGAATCCTTTTGCATTTGAGGGTGGAGGAAGAAATACTGTGTTGAATTTGAACTCTGTTATCTGGTACGGCTACCCCTCCCCCCACCCTTTTACTTTGTGCATGTTGAAGAAGACCAGAGTAATCTTAGTGTGGCTGAGCCAGGAGGAATTGGAAATGACATCAGCTGGCCCTACATAGGCTGTGTATCATGCAGGCTGTGTGATTTTCTCAAGGAAAACAGGATGCGAGAGAGAGGGAGAGAGAGAGAGAGAGAGAGAGAGAGAGAGAGAGAGAGAGAGAGAGAGAGAGAGAGATGTGTGTGTATACGTACATACATATCCACTAGGAAGGATTTCAGTTGTTGAAAAAGTAAAGGCCCATTTTCACTGCCTTCAGTAAATCGAAGATTGTGTTTCTCAAGCTACAAGAAGTCTACATAGAGGTCAGCTGTTAGGCACGGAGACAGCTTAATCAAATCAAGAATTCCACTTAGGTCTTTCATTTGCCCTTCTAACTTGTGGCCTTCCTCCCCTCGTGGCTGCGCCTCCAGCGCGGCATCTTCATTCCAGGCAGGTCTGGAGCTTTTGCTTTCTCATCAGACTTTGGCTCATTTCTCGTCGGCCAGAACTGCACTGCATAGCTATCTGTAGATAGCAAAAGGAAATTAATGACCATGACTAGTTTAGACTGCCAAGGGTTTCTCTCATGAATTCCGAATGGGGCCCTGCCCTTCCAGAAGTCAAGGATTCTTTGCTACTATTTGGGGTGAGGGGGGATGTGGTTCTTTTTATGAATGAAGCTGGGTAAACAACTGAGAATGCCCATAGCAAATGTGTTTTAAAATGTCCACATCTTCGTTGGGTGGTGGTGGCACACACCTTTAATCCCAGCCCTTGGGAGGCAGAGGCAGGTGGGTCTCTGTGAGTTCAAGACCAGCCTGGTCTACATAGTGAGTGCCAGGACAGGCAGGGCTATACAAAAAAAGCCCTGTCTCAAAAAACAGAAAAAAGAAAAAAAGTCACATCTTAACCCAATTGTACAACCTTCCAGACTTTTTTCTTTTTAAGATTTATTTATTTATTATGTATACAGTGTTCTGCCTGCATTCATATCCGCATGCCAGAAGAGGGCGCCATATCTCATTACAGATGGTTGTGAGCCACCATGTGGTTGCTGGGAATTGAACTCAGGTCCTCTGGAAGAGCAGTCAGAGCTCTTAACCTCTGAGCTATCTCTCCAGCCCAACCTTCTAGACTTTTAATGATAAAATCCATGCGTGTTTTCATGAGAATGCTAGTGTTTCTTACACAGGTTTGATCCCACTTCTACTGGGTTGCTAGAACCTGCTGGTGTCTGCAGGATGTGGCCATAATACTCTCTACCTCAGTAAACTGCACAGAGATTAAATGTGACTATGAATGTAGTATGATGTCTGCTACAGAGAAAGAGTTTTAAAAACTCTTGATAAATATTATGACTATTGCTCTTCATTATCCCAAGAGAACTGTATGTTCAATATGCTAATTAGTTTTCTTGCTTTGGTGACAAAGTAATCTGACAGAGGAACTTAAGGTAGGAAGGGTGGCTTATTTTGGAGCACAGTTTTGGGAATACAATCTATCCAGGTAAGGCAGATGTTGTGGTTTGAAATAAATGACTCCCAAAGGGAGTGACACGATTAAGAAGTGTGGCCTTGGTGGAGTGGGTGTGGTCTTAGTGAAGAAAGCACATCACTAAGGGTTGGGCTTTAAGGTCTCATAGATGCTCAAGGTACTGCCCAGTGTTTCAGTTCACTTCCTTTTGCCTTTGGATCAAGATGTAGAATTCTCCAGCACCCCAACTAAGACAAGATGCTAGGGAGCCCACCTGTGGTGATGCCCACTGGAGCTGGCTTGCCCACATCTCAACAGGCCAGGAGGCAGGGAACCAGAAGTTGTTATCAACATCAAGGCCCACCCTCTTCTAGTTAGGCCACAGTCCCAAGGGTTCCATAACATCTCAAAACAATACTGAGAACCAAGTATCCAAACACAGGAGCCTGTGGTGACAATCACATTCCAGCTGGGACAGGGGGACATTTGTCTGCATCTATTTAAACAATCACAGCATTTATATTTCTCCCACATGACCGTCTAAACAGAAGCTGAACTGGAAAGTGGCTATTTATATTGCTGGATACAGGTTCCTTCCATTTTCCTATCTTCATCCCAGAGCGGTGCCCTATCGACATGATTAAGGTGACTTGTCACTATGTCTAATTCCCACCCATTTAGAAGCACTCAGGGTGGAAAGGGAAGGCGTAGTCTGCTTCAATCTGCTCTGTCCAATATGACCGCCAACAGCCATTTCCATTTCTGTTTCAATGAGAGGCAACGGAAAACAAAATTAGATTTAAAATTCTGACCCTCACCTGCACTAACGACTTTTGAAATGTCACCTTGCACTATAGCTCTTGAACATCTTTGCCCACCTTATGCTAACCCTAACCCTGCTCATCCACACCTCCCCCTCAGATTTCCCTGTGTCCGCATCTCAGTCGCCTGGTCTCTCTCAATACTCCTGTATGATGTATTCATCGCTGTAATGTGATGTTTTCCTCTTTAGTCTTGGGGGGGCACCACCCAGCTCCCAAGTAAATCACACATGGAGGCTTATTCTTAGTTATGAATGCCAAACCTTAGCTTGGCTTGTTTCTTGCCAGCTTTTCTTAACTTAAATTATCTCATTTATCTTTGGCCTCTAGGCTTTTATCTTTCTTTATTCCTGTATACCTTTTCTTTCCTTTTTACTCCATATCTGGCTGTGTGGTCGGGTGGCTGGCTGGCTGGCTGGCCCCTGAAGATCTCCTCCTTCCTTTCTCGTTCCCAGATCTTTCTTCTCCCACATTTTTCCTCATATATTTACTCTCTCTGCCTGCCAATCCCGCCTATTTCTCCTGCAGTTCAGCTCTTTATCAGGACCATCAGGTGTTTTAGACAGGCAAAGTAACACAGCTTCACGGAGTTAAACAAGTGTAACATACACAAAAGTAACACACCCTAAAATAATATTCCCCAACACATCGCACTGAATCATGATGTTTTATTTATGTTTAGTAACTTGTTGAGGACAGAGGGTATTTTCTTCAGTTTTGCCTAATCAGAGCCTATATAGTAGGGATCTAACCTTCCTAGAAGTCAAGGCTCTTTGCCTGTGTTTGAAAACAAATGCTGAGTTAATGAAAGGGTTCGGCTATATCTAACTCTACTCAAACTATCAGGACCCGGCACAGTGTCTGACACAGTTAACATTTAATAACTTCTACTGAATAAACTAGCAAAAGGCAAAGTCAGGCATGGGGCATTTTAAGCAGGGAGATAGAGCTCCCATGAGATGGAGAGAGCTAGGTAGATTTCCAGAGGTTAGGTATGTGCCCATTTCCTATTGCTGCTCTAACAGATTATCCCACGTTTGGTGACTTAACACAATGCAAGCTTACCAATCTATAGTTCTGTAGGCCAGAAGCAAAACACAAGTTTTACTAGGCTAAAATAGAAGCATCTTTAGGACCAGACTCCTCTCTAGAGAAACTGTTTTCCTCTCCTTCTCAGTTCTAGAGGTCCATATTCCCTGGTGCCCAGTCCCCTTTATCCTTCAAGCCAATCACACAGCTTAAGTCTCATTTGTCACTCCACCCTCCAACCCTGCCTCACTTCAACTTTGTAACATATAGTCTTCCTGCCAGCCACCTGGGCCCTGCCAAGCTGTCTGAGCCCCCAAGTAACACACACAGGACACTATAATAATTGCTAGCTCTGACTTAATCATTGACTCATAATCACCAATATATATATTTATAAGGACTTATCTTTCTGAGAATGTCAGACTTGCGTTCTGTCTTCCAGGGATCACATCATGACCAATCTCCTCACTA